AAGCCTTTGAATGACAATACCTGTATCTGAAGGACCATCCCTGTTGTCACCGAAGTTTGATGGCATAGGGTTTGGGTTTGCTATGGTGTTCTGGCATTTAGCTTCCATTGTCAGCATCTTCAAGGATATTTTCCGACGATAATCAGACTGAAATTAGGAAACGCATGAGATGCAAGAATCATGGCAATCCATGATATTGTACAAGACAAAATATCATAATTCAATCTCCTTAGAAATGTGATGACTCTACCTGACTTGTTGCTGGCATTATAAACCTTCTCCTCAAATCTTGCAGCAAATTTTACGAAGTTCATCTAATCCATCTTGGCCAGAAACAGGAAGATGTCTTCCTAATGTTTCCAATCTATAAGGTGAATAACACCAGTTTAATTACTATAACTCATAGGGAAGCATATAGCATCAGACAGTCCTCCAAATAACAAGCATGATCACAAGGCACCGTTCATGCCCTTCACATTTTCCAAAAGAAACTAGATATTACGCCATGCGATGGACAGGGCATTAATTCTCTCCTTGATTTGAGAGAAATGAATGTGAATAGAATGGAGATGTTTTAATGACTTCGATTAAAGGGAAAAAAAAAGATAGACATAAGTGCTATAAAATTTTAAATGAATTTTTTTAAAAAATTTGCATTACATCTTCTCTCATAGTTAATGAGTTAAAATTAGGGTAATTTATAAAATAAATTAATACCTCATCAAGTACCTTATGCTAAGAACCAACAATTCTTCTAAAAGGAGCCCCATAATAGGGATCAAAGTCAGCGTAAAATAAGGGTATAGCTGAAAAAAAAAAATAAATATACTAAAGCTTTAATTTTCAGATCAAGTACCCTTTAAAAAATGCCATATATATAGTTCGGGAAGGGATACATATTAAAAAATTTTGTATGTTTATTTCTTTAGTATGGCCCCATGACCCACACCTACATATTTTTAATGTAGACCCCAAAACTCCCAGTTCTCCTAACTATGTAAATTTTTTTAAAAAAAAATGTCAAAATGGTACTGTAGAACTACAGTTCCATTAGAAAAGCAATTACAATATATAAGATAAAGATTCACAGAATTTAGTTTTTCAATAGAAATATGGATGATGACAGAATCAAATATCATTTCCCTTCTACAATATGTGCTTTCATGTGTAATTTCATATTCAAAAGACCATAAAAACAACAAAAGCCATAGCATGGACTCATCAAGCTCAGTTGAGCTATACATGGATGGTATAAAATGAATATCCTAATTGGAAGGGATGATCTCTTTTGCATCTTAAAAAATGCTTTCCTCTCCACAATACAAAAGCATACAATAAATAATCCTCTAAATAACCAAACCAAAAGGACAATATAACTGAAAAACACATACTTATAAGCGAATAAGTAACCACCTAAATATCCCTCAAAGGGCCCCTGTGTAGGGACTCCTTAACAATATTAATTAAAAAAAATCGAGATGACAAACTCTAATGTCACATTTGTCAGCTAGACTTGACTGCAATCACCTGGCCAATAATTGTAATGTTGACCTTGAATAAGTTATTGGGGAATTGCTACACAACAAGAACATTTTTTCCCCGGTGAGAAGTAAAGAATATCAAAAGAGAATGATTTGTCTAATTATAATCCCTCGTGACAGACGATGGAACTCTAACAAGCAAGGTATATGATTTCTTTCCCCACCAGGCCATATGACCAAAGTAAATCAACAAAAAAAATAAATATATATACATTTTGTTGATGATTCTTTCGCGACTATCAGGTTGCAGCTGAGCCCTCAAACTGTGAAAGATATCCAACATGAGCAAGCGTCCAATTATTTATACTCAAAATTGTACACAGAGTTATTAATAACAGATTATATAAATCCAATCTGACTGGAGATGAAAAGACATCAGTAGCATAGTTACATGCGCATAAGACAATAAAAATAACATAAATAGATATTATAGATTCGCAACGGATACAATTAAACTATATATCAAATCAAAACTGTAATAAGTTATTATAACAGAAAAGCACTTCTGTCAAAGAAAAAATTACATTGCAGATGTACAAAATTTGGATGGTATTCAAATAAAGACATAAGATATTGTTTGAGATTAAAATTAATGGAAAATATCATATAACTTAGCAAACTTTCTATATATAATAGCAGCAAGTTGAATATTTGTTAGAGAAAAAAAATGGCTGAATAACTACGCATACTGTCTGAGTAAACCCTGAAAGCATTCATCCGACACATTGTGTTAGAGGTCTTAAGAGTTAAAACTTCCAAAAGCTAAAGTGGGTCAGTAAATGAATCTGATGGCATAATATTGATCTTGATGTTCTGGGACTTACGATTATGATAACTATCAATTAACTGCATCATTGAAGATATTCTCTGTAAATAATCCTCCTGGAATTAGGAAATATGAGAAATTAGCACCACAGAAATCATGACAGGGTAAAAAAGTGGCCCGCTGCTAAAAAATGAACCTGTTAAAACAGTGTTTTACGTTTGGAGGTATGGGGTGAGGGACAGAAGTTACAAGCAATGACATGAAAATTCCAAAGCTAGGAGGAAGAAACACCCCCCAAATCCATCCAAGATTCATCCATCAGCATGGATGAACATAAATTATTAAAATAACAGAGATTACACAGTATTGGTGTACCTCGTTTGCTGCACCAGCATAAGTCTTCTGCTCAAAACTTTGAGCAATTTTTTGAACTTCAATCAATTCATCATCATCAGCATGAGACATAGGCGTCTTTAATTTAATCATTCTACAAAATGAAGAATGGTTTTACAAAAATATGGCATCAAGATGTTGAGGAAAAACAATGCTTAACTGAAAAAGCATGATCATTACGTAAAAGTCCAGCCCCTTCATTTTTTTTTCTGGGAAAAGAAATGCTAGGAAAACAGACTATCATCTGGAGTAGGCTGTGAAAGACTTGAGTCATCATCCTGGCACCTGACAATCATAAGCTTCTTCCTTCTCCCAAATCCACTAAAAAGACTAAACGAGAAATGTTCCAAATTCCTAGTTAATTCCCAAGATAGCTCCTTCCCGTGGATAATGATATATCTTCCGTGATTAAATTGATATATGTTATTTTTTAGCGATGAAATAAATTTAATCCTCCATAACAAACAAGGGGGATGTTATGATAACGTTGATAGTTAACAGAATTGACAGGTGGAAGCAGATACTACTCAGATCATCTTATTATGATATTTTTTTGGAGCAAACAGATCATCTTATTAATTAAATGGAGAATTTGGGCCTACATTTCATTGACTTTTATTTGGCGAATATGAGGCAGCAGCTGAGCCCTCCAATCATGTGTATCCATAGTAGGGTCTGCACCTTGAGGAGATTTCCAATGATCGAACCTATTCAATCCAAATCAGAGAAGGTACCGAAATTTGACCAATTAAATGAAATCAAGCTTTAAAAGCAAACATATAAATTGATCAGGCACTTTTAAACAAGTCAATAGAAACTACTGGCTTATTAAGAAAATAATGGACTTAAGATCGTAAATACTCTTGCGAAAACCAAAACCCACATTTACAAAAAAAAAAAAAAAGGTTTGGCACCTGATATCAGCTCGTGTTCATAATTCAGCAAATTCCTCAAGTGAACAGACGAGATAGTATGATGTGAAAATGAAATTCCCCATCCTCATCTTTCATGGCCATGACTAGTACTATTCCTAATGCATCATACACCAAAATCGTTTGGAATATGTTTCTTTTCCGTTAAAATAAACTAGCACTTGATCATCCATCGTCTAGAGAACTGAGATTAGTTTCCCAGTACTTTCAAATTCTTCGCGAGTTGGAAAATATTTCACATATGCCAGCCGTAATGGAAGGTAAAGAGGTTCACCCAAGTGATAACAAGTACTGGAAAAGCATGCTATAACGAATCAGAGAAATATAATCTCTCCCAAAGCAAAGTAGGATTACCGGAAGTCAACGAGTCGGGATGTGGATCCTCTCAGCGGCCTTGTTTCACAGCGTCCCTCGGCGGCTCAGTTTTGCCCCCTAGATCTGTAATCCAATATTTAATATCTTACCACATCATTTTATATTAAAATAATTTAATTTTTTCAAAAATAATTTTTTCTTTAGATTTTTTTATTTTCTATTTTCAAAACTTATTCTAAAAATTTATTTTACAGATTTTTGTAAAGAAACTTACTGGCTTATTTAAATTCTGGCCTAATCTATTTAATAAAAATTTATTTAAAAAAATCTACAAAATAAGCATTCAAATTTTGGCTTGACTTTGTTCTAAAATTTTTTTAAATTTTTTAGGCATATTTTTATTATGTAGGTCAGGCCAGAGTTTGAAAAAATTAAACTGTAGGTCTTTACTTAAATAAGTCAGATCAAAATTTAAATACTATAGGCTTACTCTGTAGATTTTTTATTAAATATGTTAAGCTAGAATTTAAATAACTTAAACTGTAGGTCCTGCACAAAAATATACAAAGTCATTTTTTGAAGTAAGTTTTGAAAATAAAAAATGGAAAAAACATTTAAGGAAAGAATTATTTTTTAAATTAAATTGTTTTAATATAGGATGATGTGGCAAAGTATGAAATATTGAATACAGATCCAAGGGCCAAAACTGAGACGCTGAGGGATGCTGAGAGGATTCAAACCCGTCTTCTTCGACGACGATTATAGGAGTGAGTTGACAGATTTTGATGAGAGAGTGGAGCGAAGGGTAAGGAGTCCTGTCTCTGCATTCACGCGGATCAATGCTTATACCAGTTTGGATAATCTTATTGATCAATTTCAGTGGTTAAAATTATGGATTTTTGTGAAAATATAACAAAACACACCTATGACATATTAAATTAAAATTAATTATACACCTAAAATCATGTTTTATTTTTAAATATTCAAGCATTAATTGCACATGCCAAAATCAGTTTTAAACCCAAAACCATATATTTTAAAAAAAATTCAAACACCTTTATATATATCAAAATCAATTATAAACTCAAAAATATGGGACTTGTTTAAAATTATTTTTATTTTATTATTTTAAGAACTGATATTTTGTAGAACATGTTTAAAAATAATAATAAAACTAGGTGTTTTTCTTATTCTCTTTTATTCTTTAAAATAATAATCCCCAAACATTTAAAAAATATTTTTATTTTTCTACTCTTTAAAATAATATTTTATTTTTTGTTCTCCAAAATAGTTTTTTAAAAACATGTTACTAAATAGATCTTTTTATTTTGTTGTTCTGAAGAATAAAAAAAATTTTTCATAACAGGTGGTCAAACATGTCCATGATTTGTAAAATAATTTATATGATTTTTGAATAAATTTTTAAAAAAGTAAAATTGAAAATATGAATTGAAAAACAAGTTGTCGCACCTGAAAATGCGACGCGGACAGCGCGAGAATGGAGGTTCCGGCCTTCGAAAGGAAGACCGAGGAAATGGGAGTCGCTACCAAGATTTTGAGAAAAACCTCGAAAAACTGTTTAAAGGTGGATAAGGACGGTCTGCGAAATCAGAGAATAGGTTTAGGAGTCGGTTGAGTGTAGGGAAGGTGTTAGGCACCCCACAACACCTGTTCGTGAGAACGGTTATCTAAAGTTTGTTGTGCTATGTTAATATGATTTTAAAATTATTTTAATTATTCTTTTTATATTCATGTGTTTGACATAAAAATGATAAGAATTAAGTGAGAAATATTTATTTATTTACAGGGAGGACTTGACTCAGAATCTGACTCTAAAGCCTACGTACCCTGTGATGGGGATCAAAGTCCACGTAGTTTGGGCTTTAAAATTGTTGGTAACAATATATTTTTTGAAGAGAAATTAATTAGAAATAATTCACCAATTTGCAAATAAAAAAATTTTTAAAATCTTGATATGTGTGTTTTAACTTACAAAAAGTAATTTAATTTTAATTATTTCTCAATTTTTTGAATTTTTGAAAAAGAAAAGGGTTTAAAATTTGTTTTTTTATGTTTTATGATTGGAAATTTAATCACAGTTCCTGCAAAGCCTTATTGACTCATACAATAATGCAATCAATCTAAATATCTGTGGATATTTCAAAATCTCTCACGATAAAAAAATTAAATTTATTTATATTTTTGAGTGTATAATTTATATATATATATATATATTAAAAAACTTAATCGTTATATCTGTAAAGTCTTATTGACTCATACAATAATACGATTATCTTAAAAATCTATCAAAATTTAAAAATCTCACATGATTAAAAGATATAATCGGTAAATATAATTACCATTTAAATGCATTAAGTTGACTAATTAATTTTTCTAAATTGTGTATTATATTATTATTTACAAAAATCATTTATTTATCATAAAATTGAGAAATACTTTATCTGTAAGGACTTATTATTCGACACGATAATGTAATTAATTTAAGTTCTTACGAAGATTCTTGAAATCTCTCATGAGACTTAAATATTTTATTGATTATAATTAATTTTGATGATGATTCTTTGGAACCCATATTATTATACAAAATTGATCCTCATACCTGCAAAATCTTATTAATTTTCATGATATAGGATTATTTTAAATTTAAATGTCTGTAGGAATTCTTGAAATCTCACACTGTAAATAGATTTAAATATTATTTATTAAGAATTTTACAACCAACAAATAATTGTGAAGCTTATAGTCAAAAATAATTTCAATGATAGCCTAAAACATGCAAAAGGACAAGGAGAATCTCAAAATGCATAACTTGGTACAATGCCACATAAAATAAATCATGTGATCTATATAAATTTTGAAATTTCCTAATTACTCTATTAATCCCACAGATTAAGCTTTGAATAATGAACAAGTAAAATTATTACCCGTTTGATACTGAGCCATTACTCTCCATGTCATCACCTTTCATCTTCACCTTCCATCTAATCCATTAGCTTCTCTCTCCTCCTCCTTCTTCATCATTTTCATCTTCTTCTCTCAGTTCATTTCCATCTCAAAAATCCGGAGCCAAAATCACGAGTCCTCTCTTTTTCTCTTTCGGTTAGCTCTTTTCATCACTGAAGCTACCCTCCTCTCTTTTTTTTCATGCATGTCTAGCCCTTTTTTTCGTTTCCTTTTTTTCTCTTTGCTTTCTCTGTTCTTCATCTATGTTGTGTGATCCTTGGTACTCTGTTTTTTTCGTCTAGTTTTCAGTCTCTCCCTCTCCTCTTTTTTTGCTCTATTTCTCGTTCATTTTTTCAGTCTCTCCCTTTCCTCTTTTTTCTGCTCTGTTTCTCGTTCCTCTGTCTCTATCTCCTACACTCGGTCACTGCTTTCTCTCTCTCTCTCTCGGTGTCACTTAGTGTATAAAAAGTTGCATGCGTGCTGCGTTTTGATGCTTTGTTTTTCTTTCCTTATTTCTCCCTCTCGGTCTCTCTCTTCTTTTTCCCCGTCTCTTCTCCATCTTGCTCGTCCTCCTCATTATTTTTTTCTCCAGACTCTCCTCACCTTCTTGGTCTCTTCCCTCTTCTCTTCGTCTCTAGTCCTTCTTCGTCTCTGCTCCTCGTGATCTCTGTCTCTATCCAAGCTTCTCGTGCTGTTTTCTTTGTCATTCTCGTTCTCTCTTCTGATCTTAGCCTCTTCTGCTCCAAGGCCTGATGCATGCGTATGCATGCTTCCCTCTTCTTTTAGTCTCTCTTTTCTTTTCTCTCTGTTTCTCGACCAGTTTCTATCTTCTCTCTTTCTCCTCTTCGTCTTTATTTTTTTCCATCTCTCCCTCTCTTTAGAAGAAAAAAAGCTCTTTGCCCAGAATCAGCTCTCCTCTCCTCAGTCTCTCGTGCCCTCTCTTATATTCAAAACCAAAAGAAGGAAAAACAAAACAACTTACCTTTCGTGTGGCCGAAAACATGCTCTGCTCTTCGTTCTTTCACGTGCCTGGCAGGCTCTGCCTTTTCAAGTGCTTCTCTCGTCCGACTGTGGCTGTGTGTGTGTGTGTGCTTCCCTTTTTTTTGTTCTGTCATGTCTCCTTTGATCTTGCCGAAAAGGTTTGAGTCTTTTGGCTCTGTGTGTGTGATTCCTTTCTTTTTTTTTGTTCTGTCTTTTCCTGCATGCTTCTGCTTCCTTTCCTTTTCTTTCTGTAGCGTCTGGTATTCGTGTGTTCGCTATGCACGTTTGCTTCTCCTTAGTCTGCTACTGTGTTTGCTTGCTCTGTGCTCAAGCTTCGTGCGTGCATGTCCCTTTTTTTCAGCCATTCTTTGTTTTAATGCTTTTTTTCTTTTTTTTTATTATTAATTAGATTAAGGGAGAGAAAGAAAAGTCTAATTTTAATATATATATATATATATATATTTAAATGGAAAATAAAAAGATTTAAGGAAAGAAAATTTAAAAATAGTTGAGTATCAAAAAAATTGATTCCCAATATTTTGAATGGTTGGGATAATTCAGGAGAGATTTTAAAAGGTTTGAATAAGATTTTTTTTATTTTGTTAAAATTATTATTTTTAAATATAATCCTAAAAAAAAGATTAAATTTTATTTTTATATTTTTATATTTTTTTGGTTATTTTAATGAACTAAAAGAAATAAAATCCTAACTAAAAAAGATTATTTAAAATAAAATTAAGCCCTATCAATTAATTTAATTTTTTTGTTTTGAAAATATAATACTAAAAAGAATTAAATTTTATTTTTATTTTTTATACTTTTTTATTATTTATTATTAAATTTAAAAAATGCTCGGACAAAATACGGTGTTCACACAAGTGATAGTACCTTATCATATAACCATAGTTTTGAGTTGATAATTAATTTTGGCATGTATAAGAGTGTTTGAATATTGTTAAGAAAACCATGATTTTCTGTTCATAATTGATTTTGGCATATATAATGAGTGTTTGATTATTTTTTGGAAAACATGATTTTTTTATCCATAATTGATTTTAATATGTATCAAAAATAATTGGATATATTTTCACAAAATCATGATTTTACTTCTTTTCAAATTTTAATTCTACTTTTTAATTCTGATTAAAATCAATCTTATTAATTAATTTTATAAATCAATTATATACCACATAATATAATTAATTATATTCAAAATCAATCATATT